CAAAAACAGAAGCCATAAAAATGAATTATCCACTACTGGATACATCACGGTAAATGAGATTGTTCTCACTTTTCTAGGATGTTGTTACTTAATTTTCCCAAATCATTTCTTCTTATCTTCCCCCACATTAAAAAAAGAATTAAACTGGTTAAGGTTATAAAAAGAAAAAAAAAAAAAAGGTCTATAACTAGAATTTGAATCCCCATAATCTGCACAATATAGCGCACAATTTAACTGCTTCCTCAATTTAAAACAAAATTCTATAAAATATAACATCTACATTGTAGAGATGATTTCTTCTTATCTGAGGAAATGAGTAATTGAGAAGCAGGTATTTAGGGAGAGGGTGAAAGTCCACATCTATTTCTACGCTGAAGTTTTGGCAGGTTTTCTCATCTTAAACGTTTCTGCTGTTGCACCAGGCCCACATTTTCATAGACTCTAGCACTGTCTTCTCTCATTTCTGCACAGGGTGGCACTGAAGTATAAGGCAGGAGGGGGCTGTGATCTCCACTCATCTGGTCCACTAGAGAATACTTAATATTTGTATATTCGTGCCCTTTCCTCTTGCTTTTCTGCTCTTCCTCAATCCTGCGCTGTAGTGTTTCAATATAATACTGGACTGCCATATAGATAAATCGGTACTGTGCTTCTGTCTGGACCATTCCTGACCTCTGAGACTACACCACGTGGATGGTTTTGGGAACATCAATGTTGCAGTCAACACCTTTCTCTCTGATGATGTCAATAAGAATATCAGTCACAATGAAGGTCCCTGTCCGGCCAATGCCAGCACTGCAGTGCACCACAAACGGCCCTGCATCCATGATGCTCCCCTGCTTATGGTGCACCTCCTCCAGGAAGTCCAGCATGCCCCTGGGGTCGCTGGGCACTCCGTGGCCCAGCCAGCTCCAAGAGTGGTATTGCCAGACCATTCTCTCCATAGTCCCTTGTCCAACCTTTGAAAGTTCAAGTTCTCTTAGCTTATAGTCATGAGTGGTGCTTTCTTTGACGTTCCTACCACGCATGACGCCATATGCTTTGAGAGCATACTCATCAGGCCAATATTTGACATATTTACTCTTTCCTCTCTCCATTTCTTTCCTTGTCATGACAATCACCTGGGAGTCTTCTTGGAACACCATCCGCCAAAAGTCGTTCACCGTGTTTTGCAGGCAGCCTTGTGTGGCAATGTAACTCTTTTTGGGCTTTGAATTGTTGCACTTGATTTCAAATTTAGGTACGGTTATAGTTGCATTGATGTAATCTGAAACAGGCTCACTGGGATCACCGTTGTGTAGGACAACCCTATGATCAAAGGGCGGATGTTTTTATATCTATTTTTGTTATTTTTTTTTCTTGCCTTTGACCCTCTTTTTGGCTGTAGAGAAGTGTTGTTGCAGTGTCTCAAAATTCTTCCCAAAAGCCTTGTTTGACTTAATCTGTGGTCTCAGCTCATTTGCTTAGTTCTTGAACTCTGCTTTCTATTTCAGCAGCATTTATACAAGTCGTGTTAAGGGGCTGCTTGAATTGTAGTACTGCACTCAATGTTTCCACCATAGGATTCTTCTTGTAATGTTCTGCAAGATCTGTCAAAGAATCAAACCGTTCTCCTCCACCAACGTCATATTTCAGTTCCTGACAGCGAATCATGCATGACATGAGTCACTTTAGACTCGCATCATTGCTCTCCCCTTTGTCATCACCAGTGCACACAGAGAGAACAAAATCTCAGGCTGGCTTTGGCTGTCTCGTACAAGAAAGCTACCATACTTTGTCCGTTAATAATTTCTCTGCTTCTTTCCCAGAGAGGTGTCCATGAAACCACTTTTCAGAGGTAGGATCTGCACAGTTCAGAGGATATTTAAGCTCAATAACATCTCCATTCTTCTCTTTTAATTGCCCGTGATGTTCCATGTAATACTGGACCAACTCAGTCAAAGTGGCAAACTTCTCCCCTCCATACAGGTCACAATAATCACTAGTGTTCTGATTCTTGATGTGGGTGACAGCTCCATTTCTTCTAACAGAAAGTGTGAAGTCTCCAGGGTTACTTTTGCTAGGCCTTGCCAAAAAACTGCCATCAACTCCTCTTGTCAACAGTAGGTTTTCTGCCTCCACACCAGTGATATTTGGGTGAAACCATTTCTGTGATGTCACGTTCCTCCGACCCTCCGGCTCTACGATGGACCTGCTCCTTCCTCAGGGTCCACTGAGCTCAGTTACATCGGGCTGGCCCAAGGGAGGCCTGCTCGGGACTGGACGCGGGGCAGAGCCAGCCAGCCATGCACAGACCCTACTCCAGGCCTGGGGATCGCAGAGACTGCGCAGCCGCCCCCCGGCCTGGCTCGCTCCTCCTCCACCCTCCAATGATCACTTCTTTATATCCATGTTTTCAGTACAATTCACAAATAATATTTGTTCTCTTTATACAAATGGCAAAATTCATAATTTCAACATAGTCTTTCCCAGCTGCATTTCTGTGGCAGTTGTTTTCTTCCAAAACACCCTAGGAAATCTTAGCTGAAAGTGCTTATTACCTAGGAAAGTTTCTCTCAGCTATGCGTTATCTCCATTTTGAGCCTGTGTTTTTCTTTTCTGCTGTATTACATCCCATTTCCACCACAATCTGTGTCAGTGGAAAGATTTTTATTCTATTCTTGCTTTAGTAGAATTATCAGGTTGCATTCATACAGAACAAAAAATATTTCCTCTCCTTGATCAGTTAAAATCTCTATGAAATATTCTATTTACCAACATTAAATAATCAACAGAAGTAATTACCTAGGTGTTTTCCCTTTAGCTATTTCATTCACTTTTTCCTGGGATACTGAGGTCATGGAAATAACCAATATTTTTGTGGTGAAAAACAGGGAAGGCTTCTAGAAATCCAAATCAATCATCCCAAATATCTAGGGTTTCCTCAATTTGCCACAATGCAAAGATCCACACAAAAGGACCTAAATCGTACATGTAAATATTGACATTTATCACCCCAAATGTAAAATAACTGATAGAGCTCTTAGCCTAATTATCTTCTAGTTATTGACCTAAAATTAATAGACAGTGGTCAGAAATTCTCAAACCTGAGTATTTTGCTGGTATTTCAGAGGAACTAACAGTTTAAGATGAATTCTTTTAATTTTGAAAGTTATCAGTTTATGCCAAGGGTCACAATAGCTATGGATATCCAAACTCCTGGACCATACTCTCAGGCACTCTTTAAAGCTGAACACTCTTGATATGGTTTGGCTGTGTCCCCACCCAAGTCTCATCTTGAACTGTAGCTCCCATAATTCCCATGTGTTGTGGGAGGGAGCTGGTGGGAGACAATTAAATCATGGAGGCAAATCATACTGTTCTTGTGGTACTGAATAAGCCTCACAAGAACTGATGGTTTTTTAAGAGGGGTTTCTGCTTTCCCTCACAAGAACTGATGGTTTCATAAGAGGGGTTTCTGCTCTCACTTGGCTCTCATTCCGTCTTGCCTGCCGTCATGTAAGACATGCCTTTCACGTTCCACCATGATTGTGAAGCCTCCCCAGCCACGTGGAACTGTGAGTCCATTAAACCTCTGTTTTCTTAATTAATTACCCAGTCTTGGGTATGTCTTTATTAGCTGCATGAAAATGGACTAATACAACTCTACCCCTTAGTACCCAAACAAAACACACTAATAGTCAGAGGCCCATTTGATTTTTCTGTTATTTAACCCTGTCCTAGAGATAGCTTAAATTAGTTATGTCTCTGAATACCACTCCATTTCTACAACGACTACCCCCACGTTTTCTCATTGTCCAGTCTTTCATGATCTTCAATCATTCAACATTTATATTTTCTTTTTACAAAGTAGTTGAAGTTTCATATGACTGTCAAAATCTGTCTCTGTTTGTTTGTACTGCTATAATAAAATACTGAGATTGGGTAATAAAAATTTATTTCTCATAGTTGGATGCTGGGGAGTCCAAGATCAAGGTGCAGGTAGATTCGGTGTCTGGTGAGAGCTGTGCTCTTGCTTCCAAGACGGTTCCTGTGTGTTACTGCATCTTCACATGGCAAAAGGTGGGAGGGCAAAAGGGATGAATGCTGTGTACTTACGAGGCAGAAGAGATAGAAAAAGGCCAGGCAGCTTTCTGAAGTCTCCTTTATAATGGCATTAATCCCATTCATGAGGACAGAGCCCTCCTGGCCTAATTATAGTAACTCCCAAAGCCCTCACCTCTTAACACCATCACCTTGGGGTTTAAGTTCCAACATATGACTTTTCAAGGGACATATATATTTAAACCATAGCAGAATAAAATGAATTGTTTTTTTAATTTACATGCTTTTGAAATGCCTTTGAACATCATTTACAAACATGGCTCAAATGGGAGATATTCTAACAGATATTGAAGAATTTCAGTAGTTCCTGATTTGGTTACTTTTAGCTCTTAAATCATCAAGTTTGGTTACTTTTAGCTCTTAAATCATAGTTTTTCCTGTCAAAGAGTTTTCCTGCCAAAAAGGTATGATTCTAACTCACCCAGAATAAAGTCCTTAAGTATTAAAGGATCAGTCCATTTACATAAATACAAATATGTGCTTAAGCAGAATACAGTAGCATAAAACGTGCAGCTTGTAGTGAAGCTTAAGGCTGATTTGCGGCATGAACACAGTTCTTTGTCCCAAATCTTTTCTGTTAATGTCAATGTCAATGTCAGTTTTGACTATAGAAGGGTCATTAAAGTGTACTATATCAGCTAGTTTTGATGGGTAGAAATGTCAGAACAGTAGTAACATATTCTACTCATCTGCTCAGCAACTCGTTTCCTCAGAAGTCTTAAAGAGAGCAGGTTCATGAATAAAAATATATTCCAAAACTTTAGTTTCCTTTCCCAAGGGGCTAACACACCTGGCCCAAAGAAGACTAAGAATTCTATCCATGTAGATTTGCATATATTCAAGTTTCTACAGCTAAGCACAATCCTGTTTGGAGCTTGAAGAAATCAAACAGTAAATATTTTCTGAATTGCTTTTATTGTTTTATGTTTTTATTAAGAATTGGCACTCGAAGTAGATTAGTTAGTAACATATGCTAATTTTTGCCCAGTCTGATCACAACAGCATTAATGAAACTGTACGTCAAGGTAGATATTTTCAGGCTGTAGAACATGTTGTTTCAGTCTGTCTTCAGGTCATTTCTGCATAAGATGGCAAGTGCAATCACAGCAAACAGTCTACAATGGAAAAGAAGAACAGGAACTTGTTTTTCCTTAACAGGAAAAATCTCTTTTCTCATTTCTTCAGCTTACATAAAAATATTTTATTTTTATAACATGTATTGCTTACTTATAAAAGCAATATCATCATCTAAGATTTAGAAAAATACAGAGGAAATATTTTTTAAAGGAAGAAATATAATCTATGATCCCACCACTGAAATAACCAAGGTCTCTGAAGCCAGACAGAGCTGCGTTGAAATTCTGACTCTGTCTCTCATGCAGTAGGTGTGTGACTTTAGTGAAACTACAGTCTTCTCTGTGTTTTATTTTCCTCACATGCAAAAAGAAATTGCCACCAATTTTTATGTATGATTCTTAAAGAAGCAAAACAAGCCTGATTCTTCTATGTATTTAAACCAGTTATTGTTCATTTGTATGTCTTGGCAATATTATGTAATATAATAATTCTTAGGAGAAAATGGACTCCCTAGTGTAAAGCCTTATGCAACACTCTTTATCCCCTCAAATGTCAGTGTGGTTGATGGGAGGAGGGCAATAAATGGGGAAGACTGGCAAAAGAAGATCCTAGAAACCTTAGGCTCCAAACATTTCAGGTTCTTCTGTTCTTCAGAAGAGGATGTCCTCTTTGAAGTACCTAGTGGAAAATCACCATGACTGGAGCTCAAGTTCCATCAAAGAGACTGTTCCTTTTAGCTGGGGCAAAGCAGTTTATTTTATTGGAGCTCTAACGTGTTAAGGGACAGGTGCTCTATCCAAGGCCACAGAGGGAGCAAATCACTGTTAAGAATGTTAATGTCTAAACCTACTCATCTAGTTTCCACTTCAAGAGACAGTCCCAACAACAGCAATTACTGCATCACCTCTGAAGAAACACACTCTTAAAATCTATTGCACTCACTACATTTGCATGTTTAATTCCTTCCAATACACAACTGGCATGGCTTCAAAGTGTTTGCCTGTGATTTTCAACTTCAAAATGATCTGAAAGTATTCACCCAGCCAATCAGTTTCTGACAGTGTGATTTTCCAGCTTGCCCAGAACAATCTCATTGTGCTCCTGTGAGTATTAAATGTGATAAGGCCCTTAAAGTGCTTAGCCAAGAGTCTAGAGTATAGTAAGAACTGAATACATAGTAAGAACTCAATCTGTATGAGGTATGAAGTGTCTGTACTTTTTAACACATTGTCTTATGCACATTCACCTATTTACAAACAAAAATTCTAGTGTATATGCAATTGGTTGGTATAGTGAATATACAGGTTGGTTTTCTGGGGATTTGTTTTGGTGTTTTACTTTGTTTTTACATTAGGGAAACTGGCATAACCTTTTAAAACATCTTTTAAAGTATTTTTAAAGTCTACCTAATAATCCATAAATGGAAAGGTAACAGTTTTTTAACAGTGTCTTTATTATTTGAAGATTTGGGTAGTTTGGTTTTTTTAATATAAATAAAGCTACAGTGAACATTTATTTTAAAAATAATCTTCATCTGCAAATTTAGTGCTCTATCTCTAATTATTTTCTTTCAGTTTCCACTTTAGTATATTTAACTTGCAAGATTTTCTAAAAACCACACAATGCTGAAGAAAAACAAAATGCAAGTGGATGTAACATATTATTTGGAAGACTATATAACTTGCTTTCTATTAACTCAATAAATTTGCAACTGAAAAATAACTATCTCAAAATTAATTTTATTTCACGGGATAAAAGACATACTCAATTTAATAAGATGTTTGTTCAAGCAAGATGATGACTTTATATGCCACTAATTTAAATTAGAATAAGCTGTATGCAACAAAACATTGCAACTGGTATTTTTGTCTGGCATCCTAGAGAATGAGATATTTTGTCAATTTATGTGGATAAAGGGTCAGGTCAAGGCAGCATTTCTCTTAAGACTAAATATTTAGGTTTTTATGCATTTATGGTATTATGCTAGCTGATAGCAGATTAAAAACTAAGCTTATAAAGTCCACAGTTGCAAGCCTGTATCAGCAAGCAGGCTCTAGAATCCATCTGTACTGTGATTCTTCTCACCCATAGATCCTCCTGCTCATCTCCATCCAGATACAACAGAAATTTATGATCCTATCTCCCATGTGACATCTCAGCCACAGCCCCAGTCTAAAAAAGGAAGGAAAAGACTAATTTGCAGGCATTGCTTAGACAAAAATGTTTTAAAAGCTTGTCAGAATTTAAATTATGTATTCTTTGAATAATGCCAAAGTCCATAATGCAACTATAAAAATAACCATTTATCCAGAATTTAAGTTATGTCATATGTAACCGAAAGAATACTAATTTAATTTAAATGTTTGTGAATACAGGATAAAGATGATAATGCTGATGTAGTTGTTTGCCAGTCTGTGCTAAATACAGTTATAATAAGAAAATAACTAAACATAGTCTCTGTGAAAAATGGTTCACTGTCTTCCAAGCTCTGTGAAGACAAAGGCACCTCTACTAATTTCAAAGAGGTTTTAGATTTGGTCATAAATTAGTATGAACAGAATTTTCTATTTCATTACATTATGTTTGGTAATGTGCCAAAATAATCCAGATTGAGAGATTTCATTATAAATCAGGACAGGACACCAAAAATAGAAATAGCTCACTCAAATATGCATAGATTAAAATATATCAATTTTCCACCAAATATTTATTGAGAACCTACTATGTGTGCCTAACAATATGCTTGACATTAAGGTTCCAGGGAGCTTAAATATATTGTAACACTACATTATTTCACTATTAATATCATAAATTTGAGCATTGTAGCTTGCAATGACCCATCTGTCTAATTGGATCAGTTTTAGATTAAAAGCTTTCAGATAACTTTATTTTTATGTGTTTTTAAATTTTTTATTTGTTTTAATTGACAAATAATAATTGTACATATTCATGGGATACAAAGCGATGTCTTGATATATACAAGGTACAGTGATCAGAAGACTTAAATAAGCATTTTTCAGTAATTTACTAGGAAACTTAATTCAGATTATGGCCTTAATGACTGAAGTTATGTTTTAGAACATCTAATCTCAGCACCTTTGTCCACCTGAGGAAACTTCCAACTATTTCAAGTCTTTGACCATGATTACAGTCAAGGAGAATTTCAAGGGGATAAATGTAAAACAAAACAAAAGGGGACTTTTAATTCCATTTTTAAAAATGAACTTATCAGAAGCAATCTGTAATTTGTGAAGGCAGCAGCTAAGTTTATTTAGAGAATACAAAGCAGATCAAGCAAAATTTTCCTTTTTGCAAAAACTGGGATTTTCCATTACCTGGCTTGTAGTCACACATCACCAGAGTGTGGTACAGTACACAGAATATAGCAAAGAAGAAAACAAAAATGTGGCCCTTACTCTGAAGAAGTTTTCAATCTATTGAGACAGATGAAGTTGTAGAAAGGGCACAAGCTTGGAAAAGTAGCCAAAGAAGGGTCATTCAACTTTAATGAATGGATAATATTCACAGAGGCAAAAAGGACAAGCTGAAAACAACCAGGTAAGAGAAATATAATGAGAAATATTTCAGGATGATGATGAACAAGGCAAGTTCAGGAAGGCTGAGGGGACCAATCTGACTTGATAGGGGTGTGGGGGTGAGGACCAGGATGGGGCAGATTCGTCAAGAGATTCCTTCATTCTGGTAGGAAAAAGGGCAGAAGGGAGTAAATGAGAACTTACAGCATGTTTGAATATATATGTATGGGAGTGGATATACGGATGGGTAATCTGAACTTGACGCTCCTACTCTACAGACTGTCATATGACTAATGATATCCTCAATGGTATTTCAAAGCACAATATTCAAGCTCCTACTGTCATGCAAATTTTTCCCATAAAATTTGTTGAGCCACCTGAATGTTTATTAAATACTGACACGGACAAGCTTATAACCAAACTAAACAAGTCCAGTATCTTTTCTTCCAGACAGCCTGCCCCATACTACCATCCTGTAATATCCTGGAATCCTAGTATCTAAGACCAATAGTCTGTGCCTCTTACCTCTGGAGACAGAATTCAGATGTTTTACTTAAAGCTAGAAGATATCACAGTTCCTATCAGAAACCTGTTCATCCTACTGAGGGGCTGTCCACTGTCAGTACTACCAAAACTTGAAGTATCAGCTCACCACTGAAATCTGGACTTACCAATAATGTCATCTTTTCATCACTCTGCCCCTCATCCCATAAAAAATCTCCAACATGCAGTCAGGAGACCACCCCTCTGCCTCTATCCCAGAGCTATACGAAACAAGGGTGTCAAAGTTGCAATAGAAGCTACTCAGGTTTGAGTAGACCTCAAATAGCTTCTTCTCAGGCTTCAAGTCTGCCAGTTACTTCCCTGGGTTGGGACAGATTTTATTGACTGTCAATTTATAAACTTCAACCCACCTTACACTTCTGACCACTGGATGAGGCACAGAGCAATCCCACTCCTCAACTGTCATTTTTAACTACACTGTAACTTCAGAAGATTTGTTGACTTCCCTGAAACCAGGAATTGCCCAAAATCCCATGTCTACTCTGACAGTATCAACAATATTTAGTTTCAGAGATAAGAGGTTACAGATTTGATTTTTCCTCTCCACTTCTTCATAGCCACCAAAGGGACCTGAGCTCCTCGTGGAAGGTTGCCCATTCTTTTCCACGTGCCCTTCAGTACCACATCTCAACACTTTCATTTTTAAAAATTAAATTCCGCCGGGCACGGTGGCTCACGCCTGTAATCCCAGCACTTTGGGAAGCTGAGACAGGCGGATTATGAGTTCAGGAGATCGAGACCATCCTGGCTAACACAGTGAAACCCCATCTCTAATAAAAATTTAAAAAAATTAGCCGAGCATGGTGCGGTACACCTGTAGTCCCAGCTACTCGGGAGGCTGAGGCAGGAGAATCGCTTGAACCTGGGAGGCGGAGGTTGCCATGGGCCAAGATCGCGCCACTGCACTCCAGCCTGGGTGAGAGTACGAGACTCTGTGT